AGGATGGGAAACAAAAGATGAATAAGACATGTTCTGAAGTATTCATTGCAGAGAATTGTAGACAGGCACAGCAGACTACCACAAAGCAACATGGTAGTAAATGTGGCAGGTAAGATGAGGCTGTTTGAATGCTCCAGAGAGAAGCGCCTCATCCAGGGATAGCATACATAGATGCATCAGAGAAGGCTTAAATACTAAGAAAGGAAAAATTGTACCTTGGTCTTATATGGCAGGCCATCACAGGCAGAGGAGGAAGGACTTAGCTTGGAGTGATCACATGTGGCAGGGTTTGCTAGAATACAAGCAACAGTGAGAAGAATGGCCCCCAGAGAGGCTCGGCAGGCTTCGTGAATCAGGCTAACGAACTCAGACTGTATTCCATAGGCAGTTCATTCCGCATCATTTCATGAGCATCATCGCAGGGCTATGCTTGATACTCAGAACCTAATGGCGAGAAAACCAGTGTCATCCCTGCCTTCACGGGGCTCAAGCTTTAGTGAGACTCAGGTCTTCCTAGGCTGGAGAGATTTGTGTGACAATTATTTGGTGGTAAAGTGGATAAGGCATGGTGACTCATAATTATAAAAAGAGGAGAGGGGCACAGATTGCTATCGAGTCTTTACCACAAAGGATGGGAAGACATGGATTAGGATGAAGAATAACATAGAATAAACCAAACTGCTGCATACCTGCAGTCTTAGCACTTATGGGGTGGAGGCAGGAGAATTGCTGTAAGCTTGTTGTAAGGCCATCATGGTCTATGCAATGAGCTCTAGGCCATCCAGTGAGACTGTCTTTAAACAAAGAAGCAAAGCAATGAATAAGAAGCTTTGGAGAAAGAGGTTAGCCTTGAACTTGTTGAGTGAAGCAGGCATCTTTGCACGGAAGTGGTCGATGAAACCATTGTTCATATAAGTCAGAAGAACAGAGAAGAAACCCATAGATACAAGCCTAGTCTATATCTGTGCTAATTCACTTTACACTAGAGAAAGAAGTTATCTAAGGAGAATGTCTAAGGTAGGAAGAGGCTTCAAAATATCTCAAAGTCTAAGGCGGAGATGGAAAGAGCCAGAGTGTGTTTTAAATGTGCAGTCTGCTGAGATAGGGCTGGGAAAGTCAGAAACAATAATTCTAGCTAGTTCCCTCAGTTTTAGCTTTGAGTTGTCCCAAGCTCTTAAAAAAGCAGTTTGGGCAGAATGAGCTACTGTCCTTGTCCTGGAATGGCCTATAGTCAGGAGAGGCCATGCCTGCCCACTACCAGATGCCTGAAAGACTTCTTTCCATAGAAAGCACCGGAGCTAAAACACTGAAAAGAGAACAAACCAAATGAATTTTTTTTTGCTTCATTCTTAAGAAGTGAAAGAAAAACAAACAAACAAACAAACAAAAAACAACAAACAAACGAAAACTAGAAGCCTTCAAGCTGCTAGAGCAAGGAAAAGGTAAAAACTCTTGCTTGCTTTGAGTATTTTAAACTGCTGTCTTTGAGGTCCTAGAAACGTGAATGGGATTATTTTATATGTAACATATAATATTTACATATCAATCAAGAGGAGCTTCTGATAGATAGAAGTCCGGTTTCAGATGTCTTTCCCCACCTACGACAGTCGAGCCCTGTTTGGAGGGCATCACTGTGCCCACTGTGCAGTCCTGCAAGTGGAGACTCAGTGAGTTCAGAAGTCTTCTCTCTAGCTTGGTGTCTAGGCCTGTAGGTATCTCCTAGACTAATGATTATTATACTTTTAGAGTCTCATGCTCCCTTGAGATCTGATGAACAGTTACAGACATTCTCCCCCCCACACACACCCCATAGGAAAAAATATGCAAATAAGTATGTATATAAACATATGAATTAGTAAAACAGGCGCTCCCTGCCCCCGACATATTTCATAGGTGGCAACTGGACTTCAGGTTAGGGCCTTTGTGTTAGTGGCTTCCTCACAGATGACAACATAGTCATCACTCATTCTGAAATTGTATACACTGATGACAAGAGGCTTCTTTGAGACTTAATTTAGGGCCATGACTAAGATTCGCTGTACATCTAACTCAATGCACCGTTGATTTTATTCTGTCAGCCTTACTTTCCAAGTGGCCCCAAGCAACTCACAACTTCACAGATTCATGTGCTTAATCACATGCACATATTTTAATTTTAAAATAATGATTCTGTTTGGTGAGACCACATATAATCAGAGACATGTGTTATAACTGAAACTCCCTGGTAGATGGCTTTTGGGGGAGTTCTTTCTGATTAGGGCTCTCTTACATATTTATACTGGAAGGGTTCATGAGCTGTTTCTGATACTTGGACTTTAATCTTGCTTAATGAACTGAAGTAAGCACAATTCTCGTTCTGTTTTGGTAACCCTGTGGATTTCTTCTGATGCTCAGTTTCATGTGACTACACCATTCTTGAAATGCTAATACACGATGCTAATTCAAGGAAGGACCACAAAAGTTAGACTTCATTGCAGGGAGCCGTGTTCAGTATTCACAGGCCTACTGGAAGAGTGAGGCTCTCAGAAGAATGATATTAGCTGGAAAATATGGGCGCCTTTTGGCAAACACACAAATTTAAACGTATAGGTTGCACGAAATTTGGATAAACTGAGGTGGAATCCAACACTTCTTGCATGAATGCCTGTATAATGCGGCCATAGCTGTGAGAAAAGAGGAGGCTGCATCTAAGACCCAACACAATGAAAATGCAATGAATCGGAATGCCTCACAGATCATAGCGGAATCAGAATTTCCAGCAAGGAAAATCTTTTCATGGTGAATTAAGTGGTGGATGAAGAAAAACGGTAATGAAAAAGGTGGGCACAGACCACAAACACTGAGCTCAGGGCTCACTGCTGAAGATTTAAGAACCTTAGCTAAAGCTATGCAGAATAGAATGTGGAAAATTGAATTTACTAAACAATTAAGCATTGAATTAATCTACATCCTGCACAGTAGAGAAGTGGGGGAGGGAGTGGAGCAGAACTGAATAAATCAGCGGAGCTCATTAAAAGATAGTGAGTATATCAGGTCTGTTGTGGCAGAGAGAAGGGCAGTTTCCTGCCTGACATGGAGTGATTCCCTGGTTCTAAGTCACCTTTTTGCAGTCTTGCTCTTAATCAGATTAACCACCGTGTTTCTGATGAGGTTAGGCTGCGGCTCTGTATTCTAGCTTGTTATTGCTAGCCTTTCTATTAATTACAAGTCAGATCACCAGTCAACAATAGTAGTGAGGGACAACATAAAGAAAATGAGAGTGCCCAGGAGACGTCACTCGCAGGATCTCATGCATCCTGAAACTCCCACGGGCTCCTGCAGCCTCCCACACGCCTTGCTGGTCTTTTGTTCAATTACAGTTAATGCAATAGTTTGCCATTTTCTCCTTCTAATTATATTTTCAAGTGGGATTTGTAGCACACAGAAAAACATCCTTTTACATGTCGAGGCACCGGGGTTTTGTGCCTGGCATTGTCTGTCCCCTGGGTGCTGTACCATTCTCTCTGCAGAGCTCTGAATAAACAAGTCCCCCTTTTAGAGCTGCAGTTGCACAAACTGAAAATTTATGCATTAACTGTTTGCATTCTGAGCATGTGTTCCAGATTGCATCTTACAGCATTCTTCTGGTATGCTTTAAAATGTGGGTCTGCAAAAACCCACGCTTCTCCTTTCACAGTTCACATGTCTCTCAGTCATGGAATCCACACTTCAATTAGCACTGTTTTTGAGAATACGTACAATGGGTGACTTAAACACACAAGTGATGGGCTCTGTGGCTTGGTTCCATTTTGGGGGTGGCACCAGTCCTCAGGCCTTCAAGGGTGGGGTGAGGTGTCCTTGGAAGAGCACTAGGCCTCTCTTGGGGTTCCAATGCAGCAGGACTTGTGGGCAGGATCTTCGTTTTCTTGTCCCTGGACATCTGAATTGTTTGCTCTTTTCAGCTCTTCTCATTGTCTCTGGGATGGGTAAATGCTTCTCAAGAAATAAACAAAGAACAGTAATTCTACTAGGCATATTCCACTTGTGGAAGGGTCAATAAAATTTACTACAACACAGTCATGAACCATGACCGTCTATGACTGAAATGATATAGACATATTTTACACATAAGATCATCTTGCTTTTCCACTAATAATCTTGAAGACAAACATCACTTCCCAGCCAAAAGCCAGCTTTCTATCCTGTATTCCTTCCACTGCAGGGGATGACCAGTGACTCATGAGGCTGGTTTTGAAAGCAAGTACTAAAAGCTCATTCAAGTCTTTTCTGGTGATGAAGAGAGATTTGGAAGAAGTATCACCGTGATTGTTTTTCCCAAGAATTGAATTTACAGCCAATCTGAATGTTACTTTCAAATGCACCCAGTGATAAGAAGCAACATCTGTTTTCTGTTCAATAGTACAAGAAGGCTCGGCATGGGGCTGAGTGTACACAGTCCATGTGAATCTATTGTTAGCTTTTCTTTTTTGTCTGTGTGCCTGGTCCATTTGTGGTGTACCATCAGGCAAACAGCTGACACACACTAGCTATTATAGACCAGGTCAGATTGTGATATCTTGAAAGCCCTGACAGATTTGTTTCCTAGAATGAAGTAGAGGTCTCTGGGAACACAGTGTTAGAGACCAGTACCTCCATTTTTGCATTTTTAGTGTAATATAGTTAGACTCAAGGGTTAGCAGTGCCCCCTTTATCTGAAATAGTTCCTTGTTTAAAAAGCATGTGGTTACTTACAGACTGACTATTATAATCTGGAAGCTGAAATTGGCAGCTTTTCAACATACCTATGCATCCCTGAGCAAGGACCAGTTTTAAAGATTGGGAATGGTGGCATGGTGTCCCTGTAGGCCTCCCCAGTTTGTCCTTGTCTGATGGGATCACACCCTGTCTACAGATGGCTTTCACTCAGATGTCTCATTTGTGCCCCACAGCCCTCTTGGAATAGAGACCATGATGACACGGCATCCACTCGTTCAGGAGGAACCCCGGGCCCTTCCAGCGGTGGCCACACTTCACACAGTGGGGATAACAGCAGTGAGCAAGGTAGGAGAGGTGTTCTCATTCTCCCTTGCTTCTTGCTTCCTGGTCAAGGGTTGAAAAATGTCAGAAAGTCAGTTACTATCCATAGATCTCCGACAACATAAATCCCATATACTGTGAGCATCTGCTCATCTGGTTCAGTCTCTGGCCCCATTCTTCAGGGCATTCCTGTTGCCTGTCACCTGGTCACCTTCATGAGTCAGCTGAGGCAAGATTAGAGAAATAAAGGAGGAATTCAAATGTGTACAAATAGCATGGTGCTAGTAGTCTGCTGTGACATCTTTGGGGCCTCTCAAGGGACCAGAAAGAAACCTCCATTAAGAGTCCAAATAAACACTGTCTAAAGATTTTTAGAAAGTCCAAATAAACAACACCTTAGGATTCTTAGAAAGAGCTGGCCACCTAGCTCAGTGGTAGAGGGTTTGCCTTGCATGCACATGGCCCTCAGTTTGATCCCAGCATTGCCAAAAGTAGAGTGTGTGTGTTTGGGGGGGTAATTCTTAGAAGGCAATTTGGCAACCTATGGTAGGTTTCCCTCTGCACCGAGGCCACTTTTTTTCTGGTTTTATTTATTTGATTCTCTTTGAGGTTTAGCTTCATTGCAAAGCCAGATCAGACACAGGAGGGAACCCACTTACTTTGTGTTGCTCTTTAGATGCATACTTGTGTCTACACGGGGTGGGGGTGTGTTTATGGACATACATGTTTTCTAATAACTAGTAAGAAATAAAGCTTAAACATCACAGGAGTCTTCAGCAACAAGGAGACTCAATACCTAAATGGTTCAGAGGAGGGCCTTGCTCCTGAGGATTTTGTGTCTAATTATTGAAATTAAAGATAAAAAGTCTGCATCTGGCGATGAAAGACTGCTTTCCTGAAGTTGCCCTGGGTCCACAGTAGGTGCAGCTTTAAAAGTTCGATTTTGTGATCATTTTTTACTGGAGTGTTATTCAGCAAGAGAGGAATTTGGTTGTATAACTTAATTGGGACCCACCAATTAGAACTGCATAGTCTACAATGGATTTAGCATGATTGATTGGGAACCACGAGCGGGGAAGTTTTTTTTTTTAAAGGCAATGGGGGGGTGGCCCCCCCCCCCCCAGAAATAACTTTTGCAAATGTAATTTTAAGCATTGGAGACATTTTATTGTTCAAAAAAAATTTTTGCTGACTTCATCAGAAGTAGAAGCCTAGTGCAAATGGAGCCTGGAATAGTAAGCCAGCCCAGAGCTGAGGTAGAAGCAGGTAACCTCTGACCTCTGACTTTTACTGGAAAATGATATGCAGCATAAATCCAATAGGCCTTTTTTAATTCTCTTTCAAGTGTGTGTGTATGTGCTATGGCATCGGCACCGCTGCTCATAGTGAGGGTAGTGTCAGCACTTTCTATCTGAGGCCTGGCTTGAACAATTCCACTTTACACTATGAGTTCTCAAAAAGGTGTAAATACAATCTAAATTCTTTTTCCTACAGCCCAGAGCTGCTACAGGGGTCACAGCCTAGTGTTTTGTTTGTTTCATTTTTGCTTTCGTTTCTTGCTTTTAAAAAACATATATCATCTAAGGATCAGCGGGTCGTTTACCCGAGGTGTAAAAGCTTACAGACTGAAGAAATGTGCTAGAATTTAGGACTGGAATGCACAAGTTTTCCCAAACACAATCAGAGGATTTTTGAAAGACAAAGATGCAGTACTATCCCCTGCCCCCTCTGCCCATAGCTGGGACCAGAAATGAGGAGTTTACATGTTTTTTACATTGGACCAGTGATGGATGTCCCAAAGCCCAGACAGTGGTGAGCACATATCTCCAGGAGCCTTACACCCTGTGTGTGTCTAGCTTTTTACTCCTGCTGTTTCATTTTAATAATCCCATTTGAATGATCTTGGCTAAATCACTTGAAAGCAATCCTAGGCTTCGAAACATGTCTCAAGTTTTTAAGAGCACTGATGCCCTTGTAGAATACGTGGGTTCCAATCCCAGCACCCATATTAAAAGCTCATGTATCCCTGGTTCCAAGGAACCTGACACCCCTTTCTGGCTTCCTTGAGTGCTATACACATACAGATGAGCCGACACATACACAAACATGTAAATAAAAATACATTTTAAAATGTCAAAAACTACGAAAATCGACCCTGATGCCAGACAAAGCAGAGGGCATCAATACAAGATAGATAAGGTTCAGGATGTGTGGAGGTCCCTCTGCGGTGCAGACCCACATGCCACAAGTTTCCTGCATGTAAGATTCTTCTCATCCCACCCTCTCCCTCATCCATCCTCCTAAGATCCAAATCCAGTTACCCGCACTGTGAGCAGACAGGAATTTTCTGTGCTGAACCCTGCCTCCCACTAACTTGGAGCAGCAGGAAAAGGAAGTATACCTTTAGTTTTCCTTGCTTTCCGGGTGGCTTTTCTCTGGCACATGAGGTTATTCTTGCTGAATGTAGAATGATGCCTGAAAGTGCTTCTAAAACAACTGTGGGCATTTCCATGCTAACCAGGACTCTCCTAAACTTTCTTATCCCTGAGACCTGTGGAGTTGGGCCTTTGTGCAGCATCCGGATTAACTGTTCACAGTGACATCTGCATGCTTTTCCTGTCTGCCCCTTCTGGCAGGCCTGGGAGTGGAAGCGGTGCCAGCGTTTGGCTCATCGTACATGTCCTAAACAGTTATTTACACAGTTTGAGTTCATTTTAGTCAACTGGATAAATAACAGCCCTCTTCAAAAGATTTATAAATTCATAAATATGCCCTCATACATACCCAATAGAAAGAAATAGCTAAATCTGTCAAGAACATTCCCAAAGAGGTGTTTCCCCCACAGGCAGGAGCAGGACACATTTCAAATCTTTCTTCACTACATTACTTGAATTGAACTTATTGTTAGGGGTTTATTTTTATCACTTCATTAGAGTAGCTGTGGAAAAAAATAAATAAATGGGTAGACAGACAGACAGACAGACAGACAGACAGACAGACATATAAAAAGTCCCTTAAGCTTTGGCTGTTAGTTAAATAGCCTGTCTAATGCACAGTGTAGATACTAAACACCAATGTACATTTCATATGTGTCCTGTATATTTTTTGAACCCTCAAGAAAGTAAGTCATCTAGGAAAATCTTAACTTGCTGATAAATTCAGAAGTACAATAACTCTTAGAGCTTTGGCAATTTTGGCAATTCTCTAACACCTGATCTTTTTCACATTAATAACTGTTATAATCAATAAAATAATTTCAAGATAAATTTTGCATAAGTATAAATAAGTAAATCAAGGTGTAGGCATTAAAAAGAAAATATAGATCAGGTCTATAATTATGAAGACACCAAGTATGTTATGATTGAGGAACTCGATGTTAATTCATAATTTGTACAATATGTCCATGTTGGACTTCCATTGCTGTGTCAAAACATCTTGAAACAATTCCTTAAAGAAGGATTTATTTTATTTCGGCTCATGTCTACAGGGGTGGAAACCTTGAAAAGGCCTTGATCCCTTGCACCTCCCTCGTGTCTGAGCATGTGTGTGTAACGAGGCTGAATATGATGGGGCATGTGGGGTAGTTGTGTGTCACTTCATGGTAGACAGAAGGTAGAAAGACAACAAAAGACAGACTAGGATATAGTACATGGTCCCGTGACCTACTTCCTCCAGCCGAGTAATCCATCCAACTGTGGATTTGTCAATGGATCACTCCATTGATGAGGTTTGAGTCTTCATGTCCATTTACTTTTCAAACACCCATCCGCTGACAGCCAAACCTTTAACACATGAACCTTTTGAAGGGACACTTCATATTTAAGCCATAACAACTCTTCCTATGTCCCCTGCTTTCATTTCACATTAACACTCATGACCTCTTTCCGGAAATTGATTCTCTTAACAGTGAAGCCCCTTAAAACTAGCTTTTAGAAGGAAGGGCTTCATGTCTGTCATTTGCCTAGGGATTCTGTTGCTGTTGCTATGACATTGACTTTTTTGGATTTTTGTCTGTTCTGTAACTTTCTTGAAAGAATTTCCAAAGATATTAAGAGTCAGTTCTGTTTTATCCCCTTGGCTCTTTGCTAGCTTCCAATTTTGCAGGAGAAACAGGAAGTAGAGGAGATACACAAGCAGGTCACAGTAAAAGTCAACCCTGAGACCTTCTATTCTGGGCTGCGCAAGTGCTTTAGGACAGGGTGTCCTCAGCACTCCCGTGTGGTGCGGCTTGTAGATGGTGCACACACTGGCACATGTCCATTTTCATATGTCTCCTTTATCTTTCTCTGCATGGTTGTCCCGCTGAGCAGAGCACAGCCCTACTGTAGGAAGTAGCTTGGAGCAGAATGCCTAGGCAACCTAGTGCCTCCTCTTACTACATCCAAACTCCTCGCTGCAGCCATTCTGCCTCACAAGCAGCTCTAGTAATGATTGGCAGAATTAGGAGTTTGGACATGTCTCCAAAGTCAAGGGAGCTGCCTAGCTGATGATAAAAATAATAGCACCGGATGGAAGGGGGTTGGGTTAGGTAGGTATGTCTTTCCATTTCCTCATCATGTGGGCCAGGCCATGTGGGAAGAGAGAAGCTAAGAGGTTACCTAAAGGTCACATATTGGTTGACGAATGAATTGAGGCTCAACATTGTTGGTGTGACCTCAGAACCTAAGTTCCTGACTGTCATGGACTCTTCCATACAGTATTTGCATGTGCCTTGTGAATAGGAAAGTAGGCTGTTTGTCAGACCTTTCTGTTGCCAATACAGTCACCCTTCTCCTGTGCCTGGACTGGTCCAGAGCTGAGCTCTGATATGGAATGGGTGGAATCAGTTAGCTAGAGAGCTTTGTATTCTAAGAGGAGGGAGCGACGACTGTGGAGATCCAGAGGGAGCACAGTGTTTGATAGGATTCATTTGTATTCTGTCTTAAGAGCCTGTACTACTTCCCACCTTCAAAGACTTCCTGAATCTAGAGTAAGAGCATAGACGACAAGGCAGAGGTTTTCTCCTGCAGATCATTTCCCACTTA